GCAGGCTCGAGGGCTACTGTCGGGGACCCATACTAGGGTACCCGAAGAGGAGGAGCTAATAACCATCAACATTGATTCATCCGATCAGTCAAGAGCGCGACTATAGCACCAACCGACCCCTAGGTGCGCAAGCTCCGCCTCGCCCGACACCGAGGCCGCGGGCTCCGCCTCACCCGACCTCTGAGGGCTGGCTCCGCCTCGCTCGGCCTCTGGGGGTGGGCTCCGCCTAGCCCGACCCTTGGATTTGCGCTCCGACTCGCCCGACCTCTGAGGGCGGGCTCTCGCCCGCCCGACACCGAGGCCGCGGGCTCCATCTCGTCCAACCTCTAAGGGCTGGCTCCGCCTCGTCCGGCCTCTAGGGGCGGGCTCTGCCTTGCCCGACCCTTGGGTTTACGCTCTGACTCGCCCGACCTCTGAGGGCGGGCTCTGCCTCACCCGACACCGAGGCCATGGGCTCTGCCTCACCCGACCTCTGAGGACTGGCTCCACCTTGCCCGGCCTATGGGGGTGGGCTCCGCCTCACCCTACCCTTGGGTTTGTGCTCCGACTCGCCCGACCTCTGAGGGCGGGCTCCGCCTCACCCGACCTCTAAGGGCTGGCTCCGCCTCGCCCGACACCGAGGCCACGGGCTCCACCTCGCCCGATGTGGGGGATATACCCCCGGGTACCACAAGATGGTACATGGGCCGCACCATCCGAGGTGGCCTGGCCCGTGAGATCAAGGCGTGCACGGCGCTGCTTGGCGTGCACCGCAAGACATTGTAATAGTACCAAATAGGATACTTTACTTGTAACCTTGTCCCTTCGGAGTATATAAGGAGGGGCAAGGGTCCCCTAGAGGACAGATCCAAAGAGGTTAATCTATATACATCTCAATACAATACGCCAAAGACACAGGACGTAGGGTATTACGTCGATCAGACGGCCCGAACCTGTCTAAATCGCTGTCTCTGCGCCTTGTGTCACCATCTGGTTCCTGATTACACGCACCGTCTACCGATAATCTACCACCACGGGCACCCCTCTCGGTGGACTGCCGACCATATTTCATCGACAGTGGCGCACCAGGTAGGGGTCCCCTTTTAGGGGTTGTGCGTGCTGATCTTCCGATGAACCTGATGGGAGTTCTCTTCATCAACGTCCTCCGTGACGATTTGGCTTCGTTGAGTTCGACCGGACTCGCAGGAGCGCATATACATGCATCAGATTCATGAGAGGGCGCATCATTGCATGCGTCCACGGCACATATAGGAAGATTCTATTTTGTTTTTATTTACCCATGCGGTGCTATCATCATGATTATTAGTTACTCAGATTGAATCTAATCGGTTCCTTTTATTCTCGACATGATGACCAAGCACATGAGGAATCACGTCGACCAGCAAACAATTCAAGACATGCAGATTTGCATGCATACGGGGCATCAGCGGTGCACCAGCAAAGGTCCCATGTCCCGTACTTGATACTCGGCGGCGTCCATACAATGCAACGTATATAATGCAATACGTTGGAGTCCAAATACATGGAGTCGTCTGAGCCGTCGGCAAGCTGCGTCGAGCTGCAGAGCGAGCCACGAGCCGCTAAGCGAGCCGCATCGAACCATGAACAAGCCGTCCAAGCCTCGCTGAGCCATCAAGCGAGCCACGCCGGGCCATCAAGCGAGCCGCAGTGAGCCATAAAGCAAGCCACGCTGAGCCGCGGAGCGAGCCGCTGAGCGAGCCACGCCGAGCTCCGACCACGTCGACCACAGACCACGTTGACCACATCCCGAGCAGCTACGCCGAGCTCCGACCACGTCGACCACGGACCACGTCGACCACATCCTGAGCAGCTCCGCCGAGCTCCGACCACCAGACCACGTCGACCACGTCCCGAGCAGCTCCGCCGAGCTCCGATCACCTCGACCACAAGACTACATCGCAATGATGATCGCCGCGAAGAACGGCGCTATGACAATCACGACCACAGTCATGACGACAGGTCGAAAAGCTCGAGGACCGGACAACTTCATCGCCAACGACACGTCAAGCCATCTCTCGAACATCGCAACATGTCGACTACACCCACCGGCCGTCAATAAAGCTAAGTATTATTTTTAATTGAAAATTTCTTCGATCATCGTACACCTCCGCCGACCACCCTAAGGGTGTGCTCCGCGTTGAATTTTCTCCATACATACAATCCAAAACATGTATAAGTTTTTACAACGGTTCGCCGATACGTTTTCCTTCTTGCTTGAGAATCCCAGAGCCGGCACTGTCTCCGGCTCCACCCCACGCGTGCATGAGAGTCCGCCCTCTGCGCCACGGGTAGTCGGCGATCGCTCCTGGTAACTCGGCACTCTCTGGCGGCGGCGTTCCGTTACCTCGCGCCACGAGATGTTGGTCGGCCAGGTGGCGCATTCTTCAGACAGGTTAATACATCGCGCTACGCCACTACATAACAAAAGGGCTAAAAACAGCTAATGTTATTTTTCGAATATTACACCAAGTATAATTCATCGCCAACCGAACACCAAGTGTTTACTTCACCTCCTACGGAGAGGTCAATATATTTCGTACATCATCATGTACTACCGCTCTCCGTGTTTATTTTTCAGGAACACAGTTCGGTCAGCGAGCTCATGCTTCAGGATTCGCCAAGACCACTACGGTGCTCGAGGACTCTGGCCAGACCACGCTCGTGCTCAGGGACTCTGGCCAGACCACGCTCGTTCTCGGGGACTCTGGCCAGACCACGCTCATGCTCGGGGACTCACCAGACCACTCCGTGCGACTACATGCGACTGGCGACTCGCATACGGTTGGAGTATTTTTTCTCACTTAGACCTTGCTACAAGGCTCATACCTCGCCTTCCAGCAAGCTCGGGGACTACATCGGTACGATGCACCTGCCGGTGCATCTCGTATCGCATGTACGACGATTGGATTCTCAACTTAACTGGGAATTCTTTTTAGACCCTGGCACCACGTGCCTACGTCACCTACTACCAGGCTCGGGGACTAAGTGGGCACACTTCACCTTGTGGTGAATGTGTTTGTTTTTCGACCCTTACGCCTCTGATGATCAAGGACGCTACGCTTCAAGACGCACTTACATTTCTTTTCAGAAATACAAGTGGGCACACTAACCAGGCCGGAAATCTTTTTCTTTCTTCTTAAGAACACCATACATTCTTCGGACAACCTACTTCTCCCGCGACAACGGTGGTCGGAGATGTCAAGAACTCAAGCCTCACTGTTCGGAGAAGGTTGAAATGGCGTGTCGCATCAGAATACATGGCGCGCACGGGGACTAGCTGTGGGGGATATACCCCCGGGTACCACAAGATGGTACATGGGCCGCACCATCCGAGGTGGCCCGGCCCGTGAGATCAAGGCGTGCACGGCGCTGCTTGGCGTGCACCGCAAGACATTGTAATAGTACCAAATAGGATACTTTACTTGTAACCTTGTCCCTTCGGAGTATATGAGGGGCAAGGGTCCCCTAGAGGACAGATCCAAAGAGGTTAATCTATATACATCTCAATACAATACGCCAAAGACACAGGACGTAGGGTATTACGTCGATCAGACGGCCCGAACCTGTCTAAATCGCTGTCTCTGCGCCTTGTGTCACCATCTGGTTCCTGATTACACGCACCGTCTACCGATAATCTACCACCACGGGCACCCCCCTCGGTGGACTACCGATCATATTTCGTCGACACCCGACCTCTGAGGGCCGGCTCCGCCTCGCCCACCCTCTAAGGGCGAGCTCCGCCTCGCCCGGCCTCTGGGGGGACTCCGTCTCGACCGACTCCGAGGCCGGGGGATCCGTCTCGCCCGATGAAGACTCATACCGCCGCCAACCACTTCAGGTCCAAGCGAATGGGCCTAGGTCAAAGCTCTGACGCCAGGGAGGTGACCGGCATGCCCCGATATAACCCGTGGCCGTGACGGGCCATACCAGGGGATTCACATCAGGAACAGCGTCGGGTGTACCGGTGCTGTTCTGCCTAACCCTCGTACGAGCACTGACAAGCGCGTCAGTTCACCACATCGTCCGCCAGGACGGAGTGGACCGCCACGACCGGGAGACGACTCCTGCGCATGGCGCCAATGACGGACAGGGCCGCGACGTGGAGCTGTCCCTATTGACGTTTACAGGGTCGACGGGACCCACGTGAAGAAAAAGGACCCGACGATCCTGGATAACTTCTTCTCCTTCTCATCCTCCTCTTTTCCCTCCGCTGTAACCCGTGCTTTCGCTTGGCCTATAAAAGGGAAAGCAGGACGTCCCATAAAAGACATCGCAACACATCGCATCAATTGGGACTCGAATCCATCAAACCCTGAACCGACCAAAACACACAAGCACACAGCTGGGAAGCGACCAAGCTCTCGGCACCCGTTCGCTCCCCTCACCAAAGACTTGGGATCTATCTCTCTCTCGACCATTTGTAACCCCTACTACGAACTTTTAGTGCTAGTAACACGAACAGCAGCAACGAACTGGACGTAGGGACATTCTGCCCGAACCAATATAAACCTCGTGTCCTCTTAACACACCATCCGAGCCAGCGCACAATATTAGAAATTTACTAGTCGTTGGCGACTCGAAACACCAACACTACCAAATCTACAATTATATTTGGAAGACGAGATAAAAGGTGAGCTGTACGGAGAAGGCAGTACATTTTGCAGAAGATTAGTAGATCGATTGGTAATTGTAATTAGAGAAGCATAGGGGCAGAAACGTATAATAATAACTAATAAAAATGATCACAGCCACAACCTACAGACGCTGAGCAAGGAAATGCAAACTCTCCGGTTGCAGCTTAGCTACAAATACACAACGGACCAAAGTTTTTATTTCGCCGTTCCAACTTAGTATTACGTCACATCGTTTTGGCATGCTGCGGTGTTATACTGGCATGAACTGGTCCGCGAGCTAATATTATAGCCTAGGAAGCACTCGCTTATTACATATATCCAGACATGTCCAGATCACCATATTCCTCAGATCTCGCTGAATGATTTGATAGTGCGGAAACCATGATTGTCAGGAAGTGGAGCATTTCCTGGGCGAATGGAGATTATCACCTCAAAACCTGAAAGATATGGTCAAGTAGACAATAATCATTCCAAAATTTCTAGCTAGAAAAAATACGGGAACAACAAAACAAACACAACCAATGCTATGAGCAAATAAACAAGCATCGCCACAGCTTTATGATTATCTCACAAGGTCATTTGGCCCTAAAACAACAATGATACAATAACACGGACACATGATTATAATAACATCAACTGTAAAACTTTCGACTTAACACATTATGCAAGTAAAAAGAAATCTGGATGTGACAAATTAGAAGGAAGTCAGGATTTGTCTACAGAGGAACAAGGCTATTAAATGGAACTAGTCATTACCAGCGTTTTTTGCTGCAACAGCTTCTTGGAAGACATCGGTGATAAATAAGATTTGAGATGGACTGTCCACCCCGAGTGATTGAGAGATCTCAAAATAACTCCTTGTTTCTCTTTTGTTTCTGTATATAAAAGATGACAATCATGACTTATGTCAACTTTTTAATAGATTCGCAGATGAATGGAACAAGAAATCTATCACCAAACAAATCATAATTAATGTTCAGTTTTTGTGTATTTGAGAACAAAATCCCTTTTTCTTGTGTCGAAATCTTTTATAAAATTATAGGCTACTGCAACAAAAATCCAGAGCTTACCCAGTGGTGGTATCAAAATACCCACACAGGAACTTTCGCAGGTCACCATATGTTGTATTGCCAAATAGAAGCCTTTGTGCTTCTCTACTTCCACTTGAGTATATGTAGACCTAATGACAAGTATTCATAATTTTGCATCATGAGAAAATACGATTGCACGCTCTTTACAAACCAAGGAATGCATATTGTTGTGCTAACTTAACTAGAAAGCTATAATTTACAAAACTGAGATGAATGCAGTAGCTTAACAAACTCTTTTGAAAAAAGAAAAGAACAACACTTTCCCAGTGTTCCCTTTCATGTTGCACTAAATTTTATCGGCCTTGTGAGTTGTGAGTCTTGTGACAACCTACTAACACAAAAAATAAGTTCCATTTTACACTAAATCTTGAAGCACTGAGCATTTTTAGCACTGATTTTCTATAATTAAAATCTATGTTGTATTTTTCTACAGCCTGGACAATCAGTATTTCACAATTCACATGAATTAGAGCAAAGAGATACCTTTATGCCACTAGCATGCCAGTTCTTTAGCGCCACAGGAACATCCTCAAAGACAACTCCCTGTAGCTCTTTCTTTTCAAATCCAGTCCTCCAAATATGACCCTGAATTTGGCCAATTAGAACAGCTGAACTATACCAAACAGAAAATTAATACGCTTGTAAAAGTGACCAAGAATGTGAATTGTAAACTAAACTACCTGAAGTTGTTTCAATGGTGTGATCTTCCGGTCTGCTTTAATCATCGATTCAACATTGGCAACCAATGAATTGATAACCTCTTCTTTGCCAGCCTCATCGGGTGGAACTGGAACAGCCCCAGAAATTCCATTTCGTAAATCATCTTCAATCTGAATAGTTGACCACATGCTTGTTAGAACATGAATAAACAAAACAACCAGTGCAAACTATTAGTATCACTTAAAAATTTGTCATCGCTTCATTACTTACTTGGATGCGCAATAGTTTGATGTCATCTTTAGTTTCTTCAGAATCAAACGTAGAAGTCAGATGTTTTCGTACATTATCACGGGCATAAGGGAACATAACATCAGTCACGAATGATATTGGAGTGGTTGTCCCCTCAATGTCTAGTACAACACACTGCAACAGTAGAAAAAAGATCAAGCTGAGTTTAACAGAAAAGACATCGTAATCACAAAAGCGTTAAGGAAAACAACAGAACTTCAAAAAAAATACAGAAATACTACAGACAGTTTTTTTGACAAAATGCTATGGACAGTTGCAAAGTAAAAATCCTACAGGTATCACGAATGGTATTCCCAAAATAATAGGAACAATGAAATAACCTTTGATGAATCAGCAGCATGACATCCATTAGGAATTTCAGAGCTTAAAATGCTGCGCTGTCTCTTTGCATTGTTTATTGGACCATGCTCAGGAGTTGTCCAATCAATACCTAGCTGATAGAGCTTGATGCAAGCATCTAAAAGATAATGATAGCATTCAGCCTGAAATGCAAGGCCACAAAAATGAAGTTCACATCTCCACTCGAATAAATAGGAATCACATAATTATCTCTAAACATAGCAGACATAATGGCAACATTTAAACAAGATTATTATCACAGCTCTTATGAATTAGGAGACTTCACATGAATATAATGGTACAAATACATTGCTTTTTTTCCTTAAAGAGAAGATCTAGTTCAGGAAATTTAGAGTGTCATCCAAATGAAGTCCTTAATTTGGTAATCCCAGAAGCCAAAGCAGGCCTGGGTATCATGCAGCAACGAGGGATTAATGAAATCATCAAATCAAGTTAAGGGTATTATGTGTCCCACTTCATTATATACTTAGTGCCAACTGAATCCAAATTTGTATCCAAGTCAAAAGTTGCATAACAAGATTCACCATATTAGCTTATAGTCATGTAAAAAATTTATAAGGCAAGTTAACTTCCAGGGGAAAAGGAGTATCAAAGAGTAACCTAGGTGTAACAAACTGTTACATTTTATTTTTACCTAATCAGAATAACTATATGCTAAAATTAACCATCAAAGAATATCAATATAAGAGGTTTTGAAATGAAGGAACCAGAAGCCTAAACTGCAGAAACACAGATAACAATAACAGTGAGAGGTCATCAAAAGAATGGTAGGCAACAGTCAGAGTCCAGAGCATTTTAAAACAACTGCAGAAATTCACAGATAGAAAGCACACCTGTGTCTTGGCATTGATCCAAGAGTCACCCCATACATATATTCCGTGGTTCCTTACAAGCACAGCAGTTGCCTTTGGGTATGCTGCAATCTGTTAAATAATTTTGTATCAATGGCCTACCTACATCTAAAATACTCATCACAACTTTGTTATCAAGATTCAAGAATATGTGGTCTTGGCTCAAACTCTAGATAAATCAAACAGTATTGTAAAAAACAACCAAATTGGACTGATAATTTATGATAATGGCTAAACTTTTACAGTAACTATAATCAGAGGCTATGAACATCAAATAAAACCGGTAATTTTCCCCATTTATCATCAAACAAACTTAAAACAATGTGCTAGAGACTTAATAATCCTTGAATTGACTTGTTATAACTTATAAGGTTATCCCTAGAAGCCTGTTAAGCAGGGAATTTGGATTCAAATCCTTAACCTCAAGCGCATTGCTGGAATGATATCTTATCTGCACCCATAAGAACTAAAAACTCCAAAACAGCATAAGATTGTATCTGCACCTATAGATTTGGTCTCTAGGATTGAGATGATTGAAAGATAGGAGTTTGATAGCATACCGCCTCACTTAGGGAGTCAGTGAGCTCATACTCATAAGGAGTATTCTCAATAATAGGAATGACCAATTCATCACGGTAGCCATGACCTTTGATTCCTTTGATCATTTCCATGTGGGTCACCTGCAGTAAGATCAGCGTCAGACCGTCAGTATCTAGTCAAATAAGGATTTTCTTACCACAGCTATTTTAACATACAATAGAAGTTACTATGAATTTTAGTTTCTAAATCCTGGCCATAGTATATAATCAAATTTCCAGCTAGGGTGTGATATTACCGACAAATTAAATTATCACTTTACATGTTAGTGGATTCTCGGAACATCCATGTCACTTTAGTTCTTTCCCATACATTTATTAACATTACAGTACGCTGTATGGAGAATTAAGGGAATTTGTATGAAGCCACTGTCCAGATCACTGGTCCAATCCAACTAGCTCATGCATGTATGCATGCAATCACTGTTGAACTTACTCTGTGCACACAAAAAAGGTACTCCCTCCATTCTAAATTTTAAGTCGTTCTGGCTTTTATAGATACGTAGCTTTTGCTACACATCTAGATATACATTATGTCTAGATACATAATAAAAGCTATGTATCAAGAAAAGCCAGAACGACTTACAATTTGAATGGAGGGAGTAGCATTGTTTGTTTTTATGTTGCAGCTTCATGCTTTCTTGTTGAAATAAATTGCATGAAACAGAAGCGTGTTGTGGATATAATTTAAAAATCATTGGACTGTTTAATGCCATCTAAAACATCAGCAGATAAATGTTAATAACCGTAGTAGGCTTTTCCTTGGAAATGAAGATATCACAAAATGTTCAGTTTCACACATTTAATCAGATTGAGGACACTTGGACAATAGGAATTACCCTGAACTCCTTTGCACCAGGGTTGAGCATTGTTGCAATGCAAGTCTCTATTCCATGGCTGTGAATGACAGCCCCAGCTCCTCTCATCAGATACGCCTTCAAAACACCAAAGCAAACTAGAGTTTTCAGATCAAAACAAGCAGAAGCAACAGCAAAAGTTAAAACGAAGAGAGCATTCACAAACCTTCATGAACAGAGGAGCACAGTCCGTACACTTTGGAGGCTTGTTTGGCCATGGCTTTGCTACTGGCGCAGAAAGCACTTTTCCATCTGCAGCCATCACATACATGTCCTCTGCTACCATCCTCTCCTTCTGCACACCTGAAAGAGGTCAACAACATTTATTGTCACTAGAATGAACTACAATAACTACTTATCCTCAAATTTGAAGCTCGGTGCTGGCAGAATATTAGGTATAAAATCGTGTTTTCTTTCACACACTGCATATAGATCCACTAACTAGCAGTAAAGGTACTAGACAGCAATACCATACAAACAAGGATGCCGATTGATATTCTTGTGTATATGCCTTAGAGCCTGAACTGCTTAAGTTAGCTCAACACTGGACATCTAAAGAGATATTGTGTCAGTGGTACAAGTACAGCCCAATGCAGAACTCACAGTATACAATGAGCTCAAGCTCCCAATGCAGAACTGCACTGAGATATAAGCTAAATGATGCACACTTCAAAAGCTCAAACTTCTGTGTGCCATAACTTGGTAACAGAATTTTAAGTTGGTGCCATGGCAGACCATCATCATTCTAGGCCTTTTTCCAGCGAAACAACCTCTTCCAGTTGTTTCGAAATTTTAACTTGAATTTAGTTAAAAAGTCCCTTTCAAATTTCAATTGACAACCACTTGGCCTTAAGCGTTAACCTTATATGATAATGCCTCCTAGCTAGTCCATTTCATAACATTTCACTGCCAGGCCATGAATAATTTGGATCAACAAAAGGTGTCTGATCAGAGGCTTTGCACGTGAAGCGTGGAGACATATGGCATAAGCCAAATAACTTGGGTAACAGAAGCGATCGTTTCTTTTCCAGGGGGCGATCGGCAGCAGCGTCTAATTCGCTACGCGGCAATTCGTCGAACAGGTGACACGCGCCCCCCAAGGCCACAGAAAGGCGAACAGGTGAATCGCTGGTTACCGGAGGGTGACATGACGATGAGGCGGTCGGCGAGCGGCATGGCGGGGTCGTTGACCTTGACGGTGATGCTGCCGCCGGTGCCCGTGACCCATCCCTGCGCGTAGAAGTGCCGACAGAGCTCCGCCACTAGCTCGCGCGCCTCCCGCACCGGCTCCCCCTCCAGGTACGCCTCCGACGCCGTCGCCCCCACCGCCGCCTCGCAGCTGCACCCGCCGCATGCCATGGCCGTCCCCCTTCCGCCGCCTCCGCCGCTCACGTGCCGGGATTCGAGCTGCGTGTGGGGCTGTCTTTATTCTCGCCGAGTGCAGTGCAGCCGAGGCGGCTCGATTAGTGCTTGCCAGGTTTCGAAGGGCGGGCCCACATGTCAGTGAGTCATCCGCGGGGAATCTCGGGCGCGGGGCTGGGGGTTAACGGGACGGGAATAATCGGCACCGGGAGGCGGCTTTACTTTTGTTACTCGACATTACGGGCTACCCGCTCTGCGGCATGTGGAGAAGCGAAGGAGGGGGGCGTGGGACCGTATTGTCAGTGAAAACAGTAGGGGCAACCAGACGGTTTTGGGTATCTGTAAGTGGCACGACCAAGGTCATTGTCACGGGGAGGATGCGTGAAATAGGCTGCGGGACAGGTGGGGCCCGGTGAAATATGCCAGCATCTCACCGCAGACGGCATGTTTGACACTGTTCTGCTCTAAAAAAAATACTCACTCTATACTGAAATAATCACACGTTTATACAAATGATCGAATGGCACAAGGTTCCATGTGTAGCACAAGTGGCATAGCACAGTAGAGTAGTCAGGCATGTGGATTAGGAGGTGTTAGGTTCTTTAGTCGCTTCTTAAATTTATGTCACATCGAATATTTAGATACTAATAAAAAGTATTAAATATAGATTAATTATAAAACTAATTACATAGATAAAGGCTAATTTGCAAGATGATTTTTTAAGCCTAATTAATCTGTCATTAGCACATATTTACTGTAACACCACGTGTCAAATTATGGACTAATTAGACTTAAAAGATTCGTCTCGCAAATTAGTTACAAGTTATGTAATTAGTTTTATAATTAGTCTTTATTTAATACTCATGTATATATATAAACATTCAATGTAAGAGGCATTTTAGGAGCACACTTAGAAACAAACAGCCCTTAGTATGTAACGAAAACCAAAGAAACAAAAGTCGACTTCAAGAAAGGAAACCGCCGGTGGCCTGCGAGATGCTCTCGTCCACTCGTTTCCTTTTTATCTCCTCCCGCATAGGGACAGTCATTTCCTTTTTGTCCGCACACTCATGATCCATCCTCTCGTCGCCGAACATGGCATCACCGCCCAGTGGCAGATCTAGAAACGATGCAAGAGCAGGGCTAAATAGCATAAGGGCATGTACAACTCATAGACATAGACAGGGGGTCGTCTCTAAGAGACTGGAATCTAATATACAGACAATTAAAAAGACAGGTCGTACAACCCACAGACGGGTGGTCATCTCCAGACAGTTTAATTTTTTTCATGTAGGCAAGATCAATTATGAATATCAATTTGTATACCATTGTATTGCCGTTTCCACTTAACAGTACAGAAACTTAATAGATAGCTCTTTCCACTTAACTGAAAGTTCACATATACTTGAAAATTCAGAAACTTAACATATATGAGTTCACATGCTAGACTGCTCAAGGTTCATACAATTGCCATCAAAATGTCCAGGTCACACTAACTGAAAATTCAGAAACTTAAACATCGTTGTGATCTTCACAGCAGATAATTTCTGAACTCAAACATAAGTGCAATCACCATACAGCATGGTAAGTTGGTAACAAGCTTAAACAGAAATAAGCTATTTTCAGAACAAAAAATAATCTCTTTCCAGAACTGAAACATCTATTTTCAGAACTGAAACAGAACGGCAATCACCATACATCATGGTGTCAAGAGATATCCTTATGATGAAAAACAGCAGGACAGGCAAACTAACAAAAGACAGAATTTCAGCACAATGCACTTTTGCTGAAGCTCCATACTGAAACATAAATCTGTATGCTGAAATTATACATGGTAAAATTTCGTGTCACCGGGACAGGCCATTTTTGGATTTTACAACTGTGCTAGCATTTGAACTCCATACTGAGCTTATGGAATCAAGCATAGTTAAGCACGTATAGACTGACCATATTTGTGTGCAGAATCGTACCTGCTCCCATGTATATAGAGCCACATTCTATGCAGGCGAGGCCATTCACAGGATTCAGATTCCATGCGCAAATCACTAGCGATTCATGGCATACACATGGAGTCCAAAGGATGCGTTGTTTACCTCATGGACATTCTGGCAAACACCTCCTGTGCGCTATGGACGTCGGCGTCGAGTCTGATATTGGAGGTGGTGGTGATGGGTGCTGCCGAGGCTGTAAATGGTGGTGTAAATGGCTGGGATGCTGTGGCCGTCATCCCCTTCGGCTTGGGGTGCCGGTGATCCCTTCCGTGGCTTAGCTTGGATTATCGCCGCCAGCAGCACGCGGCACGGACAGGCGAGATCTGCAGCTGCATCCTCCACCTCCCTCGTTGACGAGACCTCCGAGCCTGGCGGCCTAGGTTCCGACGACGGCGAGACGGGGATCGAATCTGGCGCGCAACTTCTACCTCGCCCGTGCGCAGCCCACAGTGTGGCGGAGCTCCACCGTGCGCGCCAATACCAAGCTACGCGTGCACCCGCGTGAGATCCGTGTGCATCGTCGAGTCGAGAAGACGACTCGACGAGTCGAGAAGACGACTCGTACAGCGCTGCTCCAGCCGGCGACTGGGCCTCGGAGCACGGGCCCTCATCGTCGCCTCGCGAGGCGACGGCGCGACCGTCTCCAAGCCAAATGAGGGTGTTTTTCGCAAATACAGCAACACGGAGACGAGGGGAAGAGACGCGCTGTACATGCCCTAAGGCTACAAATCCTACGTTAATAAATCAATGCCGGATAGGGCTGAACGCTTAGACTCTAGACTATCTTGGGCTAGAGGTTTTGTTCGGCTGCTCGTATAAACCGGTTTATCAGTTATGATATAGTATTTTTCTCTTCCAACAAATTAGACATACAAATCAGCATACGTGGCTTATAGACCAGCAGAACAAGGCCCTGAAGAGGCGTTCTTAACTATTTAGAGCCACACCAAGGGCTGCAGCCTCCCTAGCCCGAGGTGCAGATCCGCCTCCGTCACCGTTGTTATACTAGACTTCTACCCTGCACATGCACGACTAGAGGCGGCAGGATGGACCATGGCCTCGTGAAGCTTAGCTATCTACTCGCAGGTGGCGCGCGAGCTCCTCTGCGACGAGTGTGGCAGAACCGCCTAATATAATGTCTTTCAGGAATACTTGTCTTTCATTAGACACTAAGTACTCAAAGGAGAACACTAAATTACGCAGTTCCGTCGGACACACCCCATGGGAGAACACGAAAATCCATATTTTTCATCAAGATCACAAATGAGAGAATAAAGCTTACATCATTCTTAACCATTTCTTACATCATTTTTAATACAACATTAGAGTTATGAATAATTTAATTTACAGCGGAATATAAACATGTGAATAGAGTTACAGTGGAAATAAACGTCTATTCATGACATGATGAAGCATAACTGTATAAACTACGATAACAGATTATAAAACTTCTATTTATAAAAATATTTAGTGAGAGTTATAAATAAAAACTAAGATCACAGCGTAAAGGAATCCTCTCTGAGCCCACCAGAAGGAATCCACACACAAGAGTCAACTCCACACGTTCCTGTCACCTACAACAGGGTAGAACAAACCCTGAGTACACAATTATACTCCGCAAGACTTACCCGTCAGGAGGAAAGAAAAGACTTCAAGGGTATGCAAGGCTATCTGACTTGTGGATTTATTGCATCTGCAGGAGCATTAATAAACATACGTCATTATATTCAATTTTATTAGCACTCATCATTAGTTCATTAACTAACTATTCTATGTAAGCACATGTGCTACTTTCAAGCAGGAGGTAAGCAATCAAAATCATTTTACCATCTTTCATCGTTCAGTTCTTACTACGGTGTTAGATTGTAGACAAGTCGTACCGGATCGCCCAGTGATTCGCGAATCAATGTGTCCAGCTGGTTACCCTGAAACACATGTCCCGCTTGTACCCCAGGCACAAGCAAGACCAATCAACTACCCTCCTGTCACGGGGTCCAGGTCTCTGTCAAACTTGGACTCCAAGCCCCCACTCCTGAGTCCCGGACTTAGTGCGGTGCTTAGACCTCCACCATCCCCGCCTCTAATCAGTCGGTCCGGAAAGAGCCGGAACCCATGACAAGAGGACAATGAGTCTTCCCACGCCCATACACAAGTATGTGTTCAGGATAATAAGTCTGTGACCTACCTAGAACCTAATTCAACGACCGGTCCTTAACCGACACAGGTGGAACAAGTACAACCCGAGCCTCGCTCGAATGCCAAACCAAGTCTAGATCCAAAGTACTATTCTGCCCGGTCTCCAATTATCATTCATATATATTCTTGGTGATAATAATATAGTAACAATAATAATATATTTCCTATCTCTCGCGAGTGACAGGCAATCACTCGACTTCTACCGGAGTCCTGTAGCATAGCAATCTACACGATCATATCATACTAGTAATACTCATAAGATAAAGTATATATATATATATATATATATGCAAGTGGGTTTCATTCAACTCCTTAAAACTTAATGCACAAACATAATATAAAGTGCAGAAAAGTAGAGGTTATGCACCGGGGCTTAACTGGGTAACATATAACCAAAAGTTAGTATTCCATCTTGGTGACACGATCTCCAAAAGTACCATCTCACCAGCAACTCCCGATGACTCCGCGATCCAGCATTGTCCCTATTATGGTATGCAATACGATGCAGAGATGATGCAACAGTTAATTAACAAGGCAACAACAACTCTTAAACAGAGTACATACTACTCACTAACAAGATAGCTCTAATGACTAGCGTACTAATCTACGTATCAACATCGTCGAGAAAGGTATCATTTCCCAATAAGTGTTTTAGTTATACAATTCAAAGGTGTTTCTTTATTTCATTTATTTGATTTACTATATATTCAAACTAGGCCTCATTTACTATCTTAGCAATTTAATTACTCTACAGCTACAAAAATTACAGTGGACACCTAACTATATGATGAACCTACCTATACAATTTTTAGAGTTAATACTATCACCGATTTATCACGGAAATTCCTATAAGTTTATGTCTTAACAATATTAAGCATGTTAAAATAATTAGAGCAACACTAACAACATACAGAACCTATGCGACCGAAATACACTATCAGATAGATCATGATTTTAGAAGCTTAACAAAATTGGTTTGACATTTTTGTGATTTTTCAACACTTTAGTTCTAATTTTTGAAGCGCACTGAATTAAAAAAAACAACACAAAAAGAAAAGCCCTGAGCGGCTGGGCTCGGCCCAGAGAATAGCCAAGACGCAGCACTTGGCTGCCAGCAGCAATGGCGCATGCATGATATAGTAATGATGGATGACCCAAAGCGGGCGGTGCTGCAGCCTCAGCGAGGTAGGTATAGCGCGGACATGGGCATGATCGGTCATGGGCTAGGCCGAAATGGCCCAACGCGGACGAGCCCAGAGCGCGGCGACAACTTGCACGAAGACCCCTGAACTTTTGCTTAATCAACCCGTAGGACATTACACACTATTCAACACTATTAACATGAGTTGTGGATTTTGCATTGGGAACCTAAGAAAAATGCTATTCTTACCATTCGTGAGCATGGGCACGGGAACCGGCCGGTGGTCGAATCCGGCCGTGAGGTTGCCGACGGCGGTAGGGAGGCGGCATCACGGCTTGCCCGCTGTCGGGCACACCCGCTGGTGGACACAGCCCGGCCAGAGCTAGACTGAGGAGCCCCGGCCACGTGCGTCGGCGCTCGGGACCGGGCGACTCTACGGTGAGGGCGCGCCGATGGTGAGGTGGTGGTGCGGGGGCGGGCTAGGGAGGCGCGCAGGCCATGATAGGACCTGGGCCTAGCCGCGGCACAGATCGAGGCGGGGCACGGCACGAAGGTGGAGCGGCACGGGTCAACGCAGCTCGAGCGCACTCGCACGCGCGGTGGCTAGCGATGGGAGCAGCCGCGACACCAGCGAGCACAGAAAACCGACCGGCCAGGAGGCGTGGCACGTGATGGCGGTGGAGTCGCTTGGGAGAGCAACGTTGTGGAGTCGCAGGTCCAGCGCGGGGCCATGGGGGTCACACGCACTCGCGCTCTCGCGAGGGGGGCGATGGGTGGGCGAGAGCGGTAGTCAGGGCGACCTGGCCAGGGCCCTGCGCGACCAGGGCGGCCTTAGGACATGGGGCAGGGCAGTGGCGGCCGTGGCCCAGCGCTGGCCAAGGCAGCCAGGTTGTTCGGCGTGAGGCAAGCAAAGGGAGAAAGAGAGAGAGAGGCGAAGCAGAGGGGTGAAGCAAGGACAGCAGCGGCTCGGCCATCTTCCTTTAAGGCGCTCCCAAGCAAGGATGCGAGGGAGCATGTGCACATGGCGCCTACTACGCTCGTTCAATGCGGCAGTGGCTCCAAGTAGAGCAGACGAGGTAGGTGAGATGAGTGGTTGTGAACGATGCTGAACGTTGGTTCGTGTACGAGCACCAGATTGGATTCGCAGCGCGTTCTAACGAAGTTAGGCAATTTCTACGAGAGTACCGTGACACCCATTTGCACCCCAACCTACACCGTTCTCAAGTGCTCGCTTTGGTGCAAATAGCTAAATAAAAACATGGCACTAGTGTTTAAGAATTTTAATCAGAATTTAAATTCCAATTTAGCATTGTCACTATTTTCAAAGTTGAAAATTGGCCTTGAGTTGAATTTTGTTGAATTTTAAAATGGTCAAAACCTTACCAAACTTCACCAACAACCATTTCACGACATAGCACACACTTTACACCAAACAATAGAACCAAAACATCAGGGCGTTATTTAACTATTTTGCATTTTATAAATCACCAAAAAGTGTACTTTCAACATAACTTCAAATCTTTTGCCGATTCAACGAAAAGGGCTAATTTTAATTTCCAATTCGATTTTTTGAGCTATCAAAAATACCATGGAACAACATTGTCGGTGTTTCAAACAAACACCGGCTAGTAAATTTATATTTATGCGTGTTAGGCCCGGATGGTGCGCTAAATGACACAAGATTTATACTGGTTTGGGCTAAATGTCCCTACGTCCAGTCTGTTGCTGCTTGTGTTATTAGCATCGAAAATGGTTCGTAGTAGGGGGTACAAATAGTCGAGAGAGGGACTGGTCCTAGGTCTCTGATAGAAGGGTCGAAAGGATGTCAAGAACCTGGTGGTGGCCTGGCTGTGCGCGTGATGTGTGGAACTGAACTCTCTATGAGTTCGTGTGTGTGTGTTGTCTGTCAAAGTCGGTCCCCCTT